TAAATCTTGTTATTGATTTTGTAATTATTTTACAGAAATTAATGCGTTTGAAACTGTTATTTGACTTTCATCAAACAATAATTTCTGGAACACAATCTGTTCGTGGACTAAGATTACCCAAATACCAAGTAAGAAAACTTTAAAATAATTAAAATGTTTTCATAAAAAGCTATRTAATTTGTAACGATACATCCTTAATTTAGTGCCCATAAATAATATAAGAGATCATAATATAGATATTTGTGATAATCAGTAATACTATGGTTTTAATTATTATGTTCTTACTATAATGTGCAATTTATCTTAGTAAAAATATTATGAATGAATTATTTATGAAAAGCTGTTTATAAAATTAAGCAACTAAAATCATTCATGAAACTTAAATAAATTTAAATTTATTCTGAAATGCTCATTAATATAGGTATGATTACATTGTGTAAACTTGGTTCCAATATGGCAATTTTTAATAAATCGAAACGTCTAAAACTTTTTTTCAATTTTGTATATTCTTTCTTTTATTGTTTAGGTACTTTTAAAAAACTTGTTTTAATTCTATAATTTTAATATGATTGTATCTATCAATAACTATATCTAATTTTATTTATATTTTTCTAGAAACCGAGTAAGAAAAAAATGGCATTGAAGGAAAAGGAAGGAAAGCAGTCGCAAGTTTCAGAGTTGAAACCTTGGCCATCCTACATTGAGGTTAGAATAGTCAATTACATATTTATGTCTGTTCACTTTATTTTACTGATTTWGATTAATAAGACTTAATTTTTTTATATTAAATATTATAATAAATTATAATTATCTTGGGTACTAAATATTTTAAAAGTGAACTGTTTCTAATTCACAAAGGAMAAATTTATGAACTTTAGTCTATACGGTATATACATATTTGGGAAAATAACTCATTAAAATATATTTTATAATAAATTAATGATATTTGTAAGATAATGTTTAAATTATACATAACTACATTAACAATTTGACGACATACTAACATGATTAAAATAAAATTTCAAATAAAAATACTTATTAGTAGTATATAACTTTTTTCTGTTAATATACTACATATTATTTTTACCTAAATGTATGGTATCATAGAAATATTGAAATTTCAAATATTAGATAAGATTAAAACTGCTGAAGTGATGATATAAGATTGTCTAATGGCGAGACAAAGATAAACAGGTTTCCATCAAAAAATTTAATTCTATTGTCAAATATTCTAGGATAATATGTGAGAAAATATTTATTTTTTTCAAACTTAAATATGTATTACATGATATATATTATAAACTGTATATATTATTAATGTAGTGTTTAGAAAACACTCATAAATTCAAATAATATGTTTTCATAATTAMAACTTAACATCTAAAACTACATAACTGTAGAAATTATATTATCGAAAATGCACTTATAARTAGCGAAATGCTTTTTTTTTAATAAACATAAATACAAAAAACAATTTATTATAAAACTTTTACTTTATATTATTAAATAATTTATAAATATTTATTATTCATATTTTATTTTAGAATCGTTTGAAGCTTTGGGATAAACTTAAGGAAAAACATAACAATGAACTTGCCAATAAAATTCTGGAACCTATAACTATAACTTTTCCCGATGGAAAAACCACTAGCGCTAAGGCTTGGCAATCTACGCCATATGATGTAGCAAAAGGCATCAGGTTTGGAATTGGAACTAATTTTTTWTTTTATTATGGGCTTTGAACATATAATACAAGTTTTAAATATATATACAGTCAAGGACTTGCGGATAATACAGTAATTGCCAAGGTTAATGGCGAACTTTGGGATTTGGATAGACCATTTGAAAAAGATTCAACGTTGCAGTTACTCAAAATTGATGACGAAGAGGCTCAAAAAGTATTTTGGCATTCATCCGCTCATATGCTAGGAGAAGCAATGGAAAGAATATATGGTGGATGTTTGTGTTATGGTCCACCAATTGAAGGAGGATTTTACTATGATATGTTTATTGAAAACAAAGGAGTAATTATTTATCATTATTAATGATCAATATAATATGTATTTAGTTTTATGTACACAGTACACCTTTAAGCTTACRATTGAATATTGATTAACCCTAGACTCTAGATTCTAGAGCACACACTTTATGATCTAAATAACCTGGCTTTAAGAAATTTGTTCATTATATTTTCAAGAATTCTGAATATTTAAATAACCTAACCTAAGTATTAAACAAAATTACACACGTTTCCCAACTGTATACGATCTGATTTCATTAATATTAAAGTGTTCAAATTTCATTACCTATTAAAAATACAGAATAACTCGATATATGTTATTTTTTAATTGTGTTTCCTAATAATTGCTTGCCAATTAAACAATATTGATCGTAATAATAATTATTAATCAATAAATATAGTTTAATTGAAATATTTCAATACATTGTCAATGTGCGTGTATTCTCATAATTATTTTTGTAATGTAAGATTAATATTTTTTTATTATAAATTACATATGATTATTAGGTATCGAACTTTGATTTTCCTGTTATGGAAAATCTTGTCAAGCAAATTGTTAAAGAAAAACAACCATTTGAACGACTTGAAGTTAGTAAAGAAGATCTGCTCGAAATGTTTAAGGTAATATTCAAAATATGATTATTATAAAATATGATATATTGATTTTTAAACTTCACAATAATTTTTTTTTWAAACAAACAGTTAATTTCAATTAACTTTTAAAAAAGAAAATAAAACACCTAAATCTCAGTAAATTTTCCTAGTTTTTCTTACAATRATTTTTATATTTGTTCATTAAAACTTCAATAATGAATTCATTTCTAAAATAATGAATTGTATATTTTTTATAAATGTATACTTGTTTAGTTAAAAAAAATATATCATACTTTTTATTATTAAAATTTTTTAAAATAAATAAAGCACTAAAATGTTTATAAATATATTATAAATTGAATTTATTAATAAATGGATTATTATATTATGCATATTATAATAAAATATATATAATTCTTGAAATTAAAATTATTATCATTCAGCTTGACTAATATAAAATTAAATTAAATAATTACCTACCTTTAATTTAAAAAAATACAGTTTTACTTATTTTATTGTTTTGTTATTTAGTACAATGAATTTAAAGTGAGAATCCTTAATGAAAAAGTTACAACACCAACAACTACTATTTACCGATGTGGGCCATTAATTGATTTATGCAGAGGACCACATATTCGTCATACTGGCAAAGTCAAAGCTTTTAAAATTATCAAAGTAAATATGATTTTTTTTTAAAATTATTATAATACTAGCAATACTTCTATGCTAATTGAAAAAAAGCATAACAACTTCAATCAATATGATTATATGCTGTGCAACAGCAACAATAAATAAATCCTTATCTTGAAGTTAAATTACCCATTACAAAAACCATAGAAAATAAGATTTTTTAAGTATGATTTGTCTAAATGTTTCCTTACAACAATTTAAACATTATTTAGATTAATAAAAAAAAAAATTTTTATTTCTAAACTCGAATACAAAGTCGAATAATAATAAAATATAAAACCAACATGTCATATCTTCAAAATTATATATATATATAAAAAAAAAAAACAATTTTAGTTGAAAGCGGTTTACCTATGTTGTGTTTGGGTCTGAGAGAAAACCAACATTGTAGTATTGACATCTTACGCTGATACAAAATATTAGTCAARACTTTTGGTTGTATTTCTAATTTTACATCTAGAATTAATTTAACACTTTTCATTCCCACCTGTTTGAGTTTTTTTAAATTGCTAAAAACCAAAATAAAACAATCAGCATACTTTTTAATGACTTTTATATAATAAACTCTTMATTTAATATTTTGTAATCAGATCAACATAGTTTTTATGTATATTGTATGTCACTATGTTTTTGGAAATTTAATTAATATCCCATAATTACTAATTTTAATCATTATCATTTAACTTATGAAAATTAACTGAAGTTTATATCATGTTCCTTTTTCTCTAATGTATAAATGTAATCTAATATATGGTAACTCTATTATGTTTCATAATATATACCGAGGTTTTGCTTAGTATTTTGATTTACCATGCTTTTGTTCACAAAACAAAATATAATCAACTTAATATATATCGTTCTCGACACGCTAAAATTATTCATTCATTTCAAGCTAAACTCTTAAAAATCACTTGGTCACGTTTTGTATGACGACGATATTTTTTTATATTTTAAATTGCATTTTGAGATGTCTTTTAAGAAAAAAAATACGCTATTTTTAATAATCGGTTTAAACTTTAAACCCATTCTATGGAGACAAAAGTTTCGATGTTTATTAAAAATGGAGTTTCTCTGTTTTCGCTTAGATATTTTTCATTTGCCTGATATACTTTTATTGCAGAATTCTGCTACTTACTGGGAAGGAAATGCTACAGCTGAAACATTACAACGTGTCTACGGTATTTCATTTTCGGACAATAAACAAATGAAAGAATGGGAAAAATTTCAAGAAGAAGCTGCTAGAAGAGACCATCGTAAAATTGGAAGAGTGTGTTCTTMTTATTATTATTATTAAATTAAGTGAATAGAAATTAATTGTGTTTATAATTATATATATACTAGGAACAAGAACTATTTTTCTTCCACGAATTAAGTCCAGGATCTTGTTTCTTCCAACCAAAAGGTGCACATATTTATAATACTTTAATTGAGTTCATTAAAAGTGAATACAGAAAACGTGGATTCCAAGAAGTAGTATCGCCGAATATTTACAATATTAAGTTGTGGCAAACATCTGGTCACTGGGCACATTATTCAGTAAGTTAACATAGTTTGTTGTTTAGCCTTTTTTTGAGTGAGATGARAGCATCATTCACTTTTATTTGTCTTACTCTTATAAATTATGTCAAAGATAAGTAAAAATCATTAAATTTTTAAGTTCGAAAAATGTTTTATTTGCATCCAAAAAACTTTCTACTTGAATTGAAAACTTAATCATACATTTAACATATCTCATATTTTGTTTACTATATAATTGTGAATGTTAATTCAATATAATTTTATTTCCAGGAAAATATGTTTTCGTTTGATGTTGAGAAAGAAACATATGCTCTGAAACCAATGAATTGTCCTGGGCATTGGTAAGTACATAAATACAGCGGTTCTCAAACTTTTTTCCGCGGTGCCCATTTTTGGACCAATTATAGCCACTGTGTCATGCTGTGAATACCATAGAATACAGGATTGAGAAATACTCATTAATAATGAATTATTGGAAAAACAATTCTATACATTTTAAATAATATTATGAGCCTTAGACTGCGGTGCCCTTTGAATGTGCTCGCTGTAYACAGTTTGGGAATCGCTGCATTACTTAATACATTTATATTTAACCATTTATTTTTATTAATTTTTAACTCATTAATTCAATAATAAGTTCAGTTTATTTGTGGTAATAAAGAACGAAAAATAGTCTGTTAAAATGTAAAATATTATACTATTTTTTACAGTTTAATGTTTGATCACCGTAATAGATCATGGAGAGAACTACCTCTTAGAATGGCAGACTTTGGTGTACTTCATCGTAATGAGTTATCGGGTGCTTTAACTGGATTAACACGTGTTCGGCGTTTTCAACAAGATGATGCTCATATATTTTGTACTACTGAACAGGTTAGACGAATCAAATTAAACAAATTATTCAGATATATCAATTTATTATTTAATTTAGATTGGTCAAGAAATGATGAATTCATTAGACTTTTTACGTCATGTATATACTGTATTTGGATTTACATTCCATCTTCGTTTATCAACAAGACCTGACAAATATTTAGGCGATTTGGAAATGTGGGAAAGTGCTGAAAAGGTAAAATTTTTATATTTTATCTGTACAAAGTAGATTTAATCTTTTTTAATATAATGTATTGAGTAATTTTTTTAGAGACATAAACTATTTTATTATAACATGTTTCTAATTTTTTTTAACACATTTTAATAGCAATTAGCTGATAGCTTAAATTCATTTGGTGAGCCATGGACATTAAACCCAGGAGATGGTGCTTTTTACGGACCAAAAATTGATATAACCATTTCGGATGCTTTAAAACGCCATCATCAGTGTGCTACCATACAACTTGATTTCCAGCTTCCAATTCGATTTAATTTAAACTTTATCAGGTATTTAATTTAAAATCATATCTAAATATTTGCAAATTCCAAAAATATATTCAATAATTATTTTACAATCCTTAAATTTTGTTATAGTGAATCAGGAGAAAAGAAACGTCCAGTAATTATACATCGTGCTATATTTGGTTCAGTAGAAAGAATGATAGCTATTTTAACTGAATCATTTGCTGGAAAATGGCCATTMTGGTTGTCACCTAGACAAGCTATTGTAATACCTGTTGGTCCTCAGTTTGACGAATATTCAGAAAAAGTAAGTTTTATTTTTTTCCTGGCTTTACATTTTATTATATTTACATAATTTAAATATCTTTTCGATAGGTTAAAAAAGAAATATACGAGGCTGGATTTATGTGTGATGTAGATGTTGATCATGGTGATACATTAAACAAAAAAATTCGAAATGCACAATTGGCACAGTATAACTTTATTCTCGGTTTGTATTTTATTCAATTAACATCTTAGTAATTTCAAATAATTTTTTTAATTATTAATATTTCAGTTGTTGGAGACAAAGAAAGGACTGCAAACACTGTAAATGTTCGCACAAGAGACAACAATGTTCATGGTGAATTCAGTATTGAAGAGACAATTCAAAGACTACAAAAATTAAAAATATCAAAAACTAATAACAGCGAAGTTGAATTTTAATTAAGATTAATTTATAAATCAATGCAAAAGCAATTATTTAGAAAATAGTATTCATAAATTATTCGTTAAATTTATCCGTTTCATTAATATTTTATCACCAAATTTTTAATTGATAAGTTGCATTTATTCTATTTATAATATGATAATTTATCTTTTAAAAATTGAGTTTCCTTAACCTATAGTCTAGTTTTAACTAAATATTATTATAAGAAAAACTTAGTAAATTGTGGACAAACATTTTTTAAATATATTTCTTTTCACCAAATGTTCAATGTATAACTTCTTTACCGTTTTACCTTTCTACTAAGAGAAAAACGAATCACTGGAAAATTATGAACATTACTATATAATATAGTTATGCTAGATTTGAGAGAGCTTAAATTATTTTTTATTAACACTCACTCCAAATTTGTATGAATACATACTTAATTTTTGCAGACAATTGCAATTCATTACATTTAAATAGTCTCTCTTTGTTTGATAGATAAGTCTATGCTTTTAATATTTAATCCAAACATTCCAAAGTTTTAGCCTATTATACTTTATACTCATTTATTATTTAAAATTTCCATCTGATTTTTTGGATAACGAACACAACTCATAGTTTTCTGCTAAATATGCAGTTAAAATAAAGATATATTAGGACCTCAGAGGTAGTTAATAGTTATTAATAACTATATACATAACTCTAAAAAGACATTTTTATAGTATTATTAATATTCTTTCTATGACAATTTACATTAATTTAACTTAATCTACTATTAAATCATGATTGATCCGGTCTTTCTACATTTTTTAATCTGTTGTTTGGACTTTGACTATGACCACCTTTTGTGTTTTATAAATAAACCCTTTTTTGATATTATTTACTGGTATTAAATTTATTAATATTATATAAATATACAAGGTTAAAATAATAAAATAAAATGTAACCAATTACAAGCAATATGCAACTCAACAAATGGCATATCATTGGAAACTAACTGTATTTTTAATACAGTGAAAACACTTTGTAACGAAAGTTGTTACAATTAAAAACTCTATATTACATAAATAACATTAAGTTAACTTATAATGGTTGGTTTGATTTAAAACCTATTAATTACTCTCAATAACGAAAGAAATCACATGGTTCCTTCAGATTCGTTATTGAGAGTTTTCACTGTATTTGAAAAGATTATCATCTATTACATGTAATACACGCAGTTGTGGTTCTAATAATACAATATATTATATCATACATTCAATATAAATTACATAATAATATAATTTTGTTCTATGAAAAAAAATTTATACTTTTAGTAGTGTATTCAAATCCCTATTATTTATGTATTTTATTATTAAAATACTAATTTTAATCATGGATGTTCAATATTTTCAACGAGATTTATAAATGTAGAATAACTTAGTTACCAGACAGCTAATACTAACAAAAAATGAAATAGAGAGAAGGCTAAATAATAATGTTTTGTATGCATTAATATTTATAAATTATTCATGTTTCTATTTTAATAAATCCCAATATCTTGAATGCTTTTCGATAAAATTTGTATGTGTTAAGAAACAAAWAWATTACATTCAATAGTACATATCTAGGTGTATAAAATACTAAAAGTGATTATGTTTGTTAGGTATGAAATATCTTCAATAATAAGAATAGCATAGGAATCTGCATGTGCTAACATTCTAATTTTTTTCATTGCTAAATATTATTTTTTTTTTTAATGTTATTGATGTTATGGTCATTATTGTTATTACAATTAATAGTACTCAAATTTAAACAAGTTTAATATTTATTAATATTTAAGAACCATTTGTAGTAGAATAAAAATGTAACATACATATTATGTGTATAATGTATACACTGTGTGGTGTAGGTGCTTAAGTAGGTACACRAGTTGTGTAACACAACAATAGCAATGCCATTATTTGATTTGATATAATTSTAATGAACAAATATGTATTTTATTAAATGTTAGATTAAAAATATATATATTATATTACAGTAAAGTAATAAGTTTCAATTAAATCAAAGAATTTAAATTTAAATTTAACACCACAAAAAAATATGCTTATGATATTGATACTTACTACCTACTATTATATTAGTGCAGGATCTTCGCGGTTATATTTTATACATTTAAAAATTCAAAGCACTGAAACGTCTGTAACATGTTATTCATTAAAATTTATATTACTTGGTGCATTATACTAAACTCATATTTTATATAAAAATTTTTAAAATCATTGGTTTCCTAAATGTTGATGGTGAGAACGAATATCAGTCATTTCATCTATAATTGAGAGTTATCGAGATTCTTTGTAAGTATTTTAATCATTGTAAGAGTACCTATAGGTGCCCATTTCAATATTAATTAATGTGTAACTATATATATACATGTTACGGTACAAGTACCGAATACTGGCTAAACCTAGGTTTTGGAAATTTACCAATATTGATTTCGATAAAACCTAGGAAACAAAATAATTTTGTCAAATTGAATGATTTTTGAAGTTCGGACATTTACCTACAGTAGTCGATGAAACCTAGGATTTAGCGGTAAAGTCTAACCGGTATTCGTATTCTTACCGTAACATATAYATGTTCAAAGGGTTTATCCCGTATACTTAATAAAATAAAATATTGATACCTAATGATGATTAATTATATGATGATTATATTTATTTTTGATTAAATTACTTTTAAATTTTAATGATTTTAAAGTGAGGTATTTAATATTTTGACCTTTCCCTCCTTACACCCTAAAAAAAAAAAATTCACAACTGACCAGAATCTGAATATTTTGGCACGTAATTCGGATGCAGACGTTCGTTCGGATTGAATGATTTATAGTTAGGCGTAGTAGTGCGG